CTGTTATTCTCAGCACTCAAGTGATGGCATTGATAAATCTAGCCTCAAAGTGATAGTACAGCAAGATGCACCACCACCACCATTCTTCAGGGGAGATAAGAGTGATTCATTTACTGTGCACGAGTGGGAAGATATGATGTACAGTTATTTGAACAGAATGAAATGCCGAACGCAAACTGATGTCTCTGATCTCATCCTGAGCAGATTGGCTGGCAAAGCGAGAGATGTGGTTAAAGTGTCCCTGCGAAGCCGCCCCGAACTGAGTGCCAGTGAGTTCCCAAGTGCAGTGTTTGACATACTGAAACGCAACTTCAGTGAGTTGTCTTACTCTAACATGCCCATGGCTGACTTCTATAACACCGTCCCTAGAGCAGATGAAAGTCCCATGGATTACTGGATACGGCTTAACAAGTCCATAGATGTTGCTGATGAGTGCTTGCGCAGACACAATAAGAGTGTTGAGGATCCCGCTGCTGAAGCAGTCATGATGTTTATTTCTCATTGCCCGGACCCGAGTCTTGCTATTTAAAGTCTTTTCAGTTTAAGCCAGCAGAGAAGTGGAGCGCTGCTGAGGTCCAGGAGCGCTTGGATAGTCATCAGAGGGATCTAAAGAGAGTCTCTTCAAGGAAGCAGCACACAATGTCCTTGTCGGCAAGCAACCAGTGCACTGTTATGACAGGCCACAATAATGTGCCTAGTTCTCTTCCTCAGCCTGTTTCCATGCCCAGTTCTCCTCAGCAGCCAGTTTCCATGCCAGCCCAGTCACTGACTCCTGTGAATCCTCTTAATCCATATGCTGTTCCCTTCTCTCCAGATACCAGCCTTCAGCACATTGTTGGCATGATGGATCGAGTCCTGTCTTTGTGCACTGCCTCTTTAACTTCACCCAGTCAGGTTCACCCAGGCAAGACTCCAGATTTCAAAACCAACTTGAGCACTGCATGTAGGGTCTGTAGATCGAAGGAACAAACAACGTATGAACATTGTAGACGCCAAAGGCTGTGTCATCTCTGTTTCAGTCCTGGCCACTTTAAGAGTGACTGTCCTAAAGCAGCATGCCTTACATCTCCCTCAGATACTGCTCAGTTAAACTGAGGAGCCCATGCGATGAGAGGGGTAGCATGGGCAATTTAAGTAAAACCTCCCTCACAGAAGATGTGCAAAATGTTTTTGCTAACAGTTGCAAACTATTTCCAGAAGACAAAACCGTGCTATATGTGGGGTCTCAGAGAGTTGATGGGGCAAGTGAGTTGTTTTATGCTCCTGTGACAGTCTGTGACCATTGCACATTAAAGGGGTTGCTGGATTCTGGTAGTATGGCCTGCACGCTTAGTGAAGAGGGTGAGTCCAAGCTGCAAGCTGATGGTCTTCTTCCGTATCCTCAAACTGTTGCGGGTAATGTGGTCCTGGTTGGCTGTGGTGGCCTTACGATTCAGCCGAAGTGTTCATATGACTTGGAGATTGAAGTCTATGGATTCAAGTTTGTCGTTCCCACCCTTGTGGTGCCTGGACAAAGAGATGAGTTCATAATAGGAAGTAATGTGATCAAATGTGTTGTGCAGAAGATAAAATCGCATGACAAGTACTGGGAGCTTATTTCCTGCAAGAACAGTAATCCTGAGTGTGAGCAATTCCTTGAGCTTCTGAGCTGCATCTCCCGATGGTCTGGGCCTCAACAACCTGATAAACTTGGGACTGTAAAACTCCGTCAGGAAATCACTCTGCTTCCCAAATGTGAGTATCTTGTTTGGGGCAAATTGCCAGCTAATGTACCTGTTTCTCCAGGAAGTACTGTAATTGTTGAGCCAACCACGGCACGTTCAGCTCCTAAAAACATTCTTGTCGGACGCGTAGTAACACCGATGTGGGGTGATCGATGGGTGCCAATGAAGATAGTGAACCCAAACCCAATGTCAGTGTCACTTCGCCGTAACACTTAAGTGGCTGATGTTTCTTCCTGTCTAGCCGTGGAGGATTTTCCTGTCATGCAGGGTCTGAGCAGAACTCAATGTGATGTTCCTGATTCAAATCCACACATTACTGACTCATCCGTTAATCCGGCACAGCCATTGAAGGATCTTGGTCTTAACGAAATTGACATTGATGGATGTGAAGTCTCTGGGATGTGTAAGAGGAAATTGACAGATCTTCTTGTATCCTACCATGATGTTTTCTCAAAGGATAAGCTGGATTGTGGAGAGACAAAGGACTTTGTGCACAGGATCCATCTTTATGATGAGCGTCCATTCCATCGCCGCATCCCACCTGCCCACTATCAAAAATTGAGAGAAGTGTTGTCAGAAATGGAGGAGAAAGGCATAATCAGCAAGTCTGTCAGTGAGTGTGCGTCACCCTTGGTGATGGTCTGGAAAAAAGACGGTAGTCTGAGGGTCTGCACTGATTTTCGCTGGCTCAACGCCTTTGAGAGTGAGTTGATTGCTGAGCTGCTTGAACTGGCTGGAGTTGACAAGTCAAGAACCACCCCTTACCACCCAATGGGGAATGGTGGTACCGAACGTTTCAACAGGACGTTAGGAAATATGTTGAGGTCTCTCCCACCTAGGCCTAAGCAGAAATGGCCACAGTTAATACAGACCATGACATTTGTGTATAACTGCACAGCACACGAAACAACAGGTTTCGCCCCCTTTTACCTGATGTTCGGTAGGGTACCAAGATTGCCAGTTGACCTCATGTTCCGCAGTGTCCTGCAGGATAAGACAATCTGTGACTATGATAGATATGTGAAATCTCTTGTCAGCGACCTCCAATCTGCCATGGCGTTAGCACAGAAGAATGCTGTTGTGGAACAAAAACACCAGTCCAGCCAGTACAACAAAAGAGCCAAGGGCCTACCTCTAGCCGTTGGTGACCAAGTGCTTGTGGCTAACAAGGGTTGTAGAGGGAAACGTAAACTTGCTGACAAATGGGAGCCGGTCATGTACACTGTTGTTGCCTCAAAGCCATCCATACATGTCTATAAGATCAGTGACAGAGCTGGTAATGAGAGAATAGTGCATCGGAATCTTCTTCTTCAAGTGAACTTCCTCCCGCTGCTTGAACCAGAAATGGTTGGTTCTGATCATGAGGTTGCTGAAACACTTGCCTGTAGTGTACCTTTACAGATATCTGATGCAGCACACTGTGATGGTCTAACCGGGCAGACAAGGAGTGGTGAGTCCTTAAATGGTGCCGAAATTGAGTCTGATGGGCACGCAGATGATGGGCTGAATGAGGCTGAGGAACTCTCACATGCAGACTCTATGTCGAACATCTCCAATGTTGCTACTTGTGGTGATGTCCGCACTTCTTCATGGGTGCATTCTCAGTTGTCCAATCAAGAGGAGTCGCATGCGCAAGTCGCTGTGTCGGTGACTGATGATAATGCTGTGGCTGTGGCTGTTGCTAACCACTCTCCCCAAATCCCTGTCTCTGCCAGTGAACCTTTTTGGCAAGATCCAGTAGCTGATTTAAATGCAGATGTTCGTTACACTACCAGGCTTGGTAGAGTAATTAAGCCTGTTCGTAGGCTGGATTGAGTCAATGGTTCAACTAGAAACCTTACTTGGTATGGAGTCTTTATCTCCTGTTATTCATGTTTAGATCAGTTTTTTTTTCTTCATGCTGTCTCTTGAAAATGCTAGAAGTCATGTTGTATTTTCTAATGCCTATTGGCTCTGTTTAAGTACCTGGTCTGAGATTTTTCAAAGTGTAATGGGCACTTTGGTAATGCCTACAATATGTGTTGAAGTTTGGCCAACTTTCTTCATATTTGTATCCCTTTCTTTTGGGTAGCTTTTTATGCTGTGTTTCCACTGTTTTTTTTAAGTGTGGACCATGCAATTCTAGTGACCAGTATTTTTTTATTTTTTATTATACTCTGGTGAATTTTGTGTAAATTCTGAGGGGTGAGTGTAACAGGTACATAAAGTGTACTGTTAAATGTATTTATAGTTTATTAGAATTTCCACAAAATTGTTTGTTGACACATACCTGATATTACTGCCTAAGTGAAGTTGAGTGTCTTTCCCTTTAATTGATGTGATGTCATGAGTCAATATAATTTCCTGTTCTGTCTCCTCCTCTTCCTCTTTGCACTGGTGATGCAGTGAGAGGTGAGGTTATTTTGGGCTACTGATAATCATCTTTAATCGTAATCTTAATTGTTGCTTTTATGTCTAAATTTTCATTCTAATTCCTGTGTATAATGTTATTTTACTTATCTGTGTGGCTATTTTCGTAATTTTGTCCAGATTAAGTGATGTTTTAACATCTGGGCCTAAATGTGAAATGAGAGCACGTGTGACAAGTGTACATCTCATTTGTTTTATAGAGCTAGAGAGGGTGATTCTCACTAAGAGGCTGATTACATTTTGTTTGTGCATCAGGTATGTCTTCTGTTATATGTTTATGTTTTATATGCATTTTATTGTGATTCTTCCTCTTTGCACTGGTGATGCTGTGAGAGAGCTAGAGAGGGCGATTCTCACTAAGAGGCTGATTACATTTTGTTTGTGCATCAGAATAAAAGATCGCTGAAACTGCTGAGTCGTGTCCTGTTCTTCTCACGTGAATGAAAAACACAACGCAGAAAAGAGACCTGGGCTGTAACCCGGATGAGCGGCCATTATGGAGGCACTTGGATGTAAACAACAGCATCGACTGCACAGTTAATGTACAACTGAACACATTGTTACACAAAAAAATCTGTGGTAGATGCGAACTCATATAGAGAAGGACCTTATTCATTTGCATAAAGATGGGCATCGGCCAGCTTTTTGACGCGCTGAATTTTTACAAACGTAGCGCCGCCTGGATGCTTTGCGGAAAATACGTAACATGAACGCGCTTGCCGTCACATCCGCAGACAGCGCGGGAGAAGTCCGACCCGTCAGAAAATAGGAAAAATAGGATACAGGCTTATAGGTGCATCCACTGTGAGCGGACAAGGTGTCAGCATGCTCATCAGGAGATGTTTGAGTCATAAATGTTAAAATAAAAAGGCTATTGTTATGTTTATTTTGGGGAAAAAGCTGCATATAGCCTCTTTAAAACACGGTTATCTTCAAGCATGAAATAACAGTAAAATATCCTAACAGAAACGTTAAATATTAAATGTTCAGATACAAATCCCTTTATGGTAAACAAGCAATGTTGGGACTGAGGATTTAAGAATGGGAAATGAAAGGTAATGTTATATACAGCAAATGCAACAGCACTTCCATGAGTTTCCTTTCATATTTCCTTTGTATATATATATATCCTTTTTTTCTCCTTCCCTCATTTTCTCCTTTCTCATTGCACTTACTAATTGTAAGATAGCAAAACATGTCCATTATGCAAAGCATGAATGTTACTGCAGCAGCACAGTCCACATCAAACACATTACATATTGTAAATATAAAGATGAATTAAAAAGAACTTTTTTACACACATTGAAAAATAGTGATTAAGATTCAAACCCTTTAGCAAAATGAGAAATCAGGCACTGATGGTTATTCCTCATATTTAGTGTTTACCTTTCTACGCATGTATTTTAACATATAATCAAAACTGAGTTTGCATTCAATGAGCACAGTAACAAATGTATGTTCTGAAGCAATGCATTAGCATAATGTAACAAAATGTGCAAGGCTGTATGTATGAATTAATAATAGAGAATGATCTGTAGTGATCATGTGTAGATCTTTGTGTGAGTGTGTCAGTATCTATGTAAGCCATTTCTCAATGCAGGTTTTATACACTGTTTCATTGGAGTGCCAGAAGACATGTGCAACACCTGCCATCGAACAAAGAGCCAGATCTCCTCGAGCATACAGTGTCTTCAGCCCAAATAAGTCCATTAAAAACACCTGGAAAACATGCCAGAATCATGGGGAAAAGCTGATAAATATGAAATAAGCTACGGGTACAAGAAGCAGTTCTATATTGTGAATACAGGCATGGATAAGTAAAGGATAATCCACAGCTAGATAACAATTTTAATGCACGAAATTGAGCCAAAGAATCAACTAAGTGCATCCAAAACATTTAATGCATATCTAGTCCTGCTTATCATGGTCATTTGCCAGCATTGGCAACTTAAAGCTATTATTGATTTTTGCAGCACAATATTTGACAGGAAGGCAAAAAATTATGGTTCTCTTGTGTACTGCGTTATATCTTACGCTAGGGGAAAGACCTCTTTCGTCGAGATATTGAAGCCAAAAAATTATCCTTAATTTTGTCTTAATCCAAAACGCATTGCGGCAGCATGCAGACATAGGCAAGGCGGCTTAGCATGCCTATTGGCTATCCTGCGGCAACTGCAGCAGCCTATCGAGAGCGGCCCTTAAGTGACGGCCTATTGCGTCACACTCCCGTCGAAGCGGGCGTGGCCTACATCTATAAATATAGCTCGATTGGCTGATATTACTGATTTTTCATCTCTTCAGTGAAGCATCGCTGGATCCTGAGTGAGAAGCAGCGCCGTCAAAAAAGCCTTCTGCGGGACGAGACACGAGGAAAAGAGTGTGTTTTAGTCCCGCCGAGGCCGGACCAATCTCCATTTATCAAACATTTCCCAGCTCCTCTTAGTTTCAGCGGCTGAAAATGTCAATATTGCAGCAATGAGCCTGTTGTATAACATGCACGCCTGCAAACATATGCCGACACACACTAAACTGTGATGACGCTTCCTTATCTGCTCGAGGTAATTTAAGCTTACGTTGTTTCCCCCCGTGGCGAAACACAAAGCCCCTTGCACGGGAGACCGGTGTTTAAACCTGGCTCTCGCAGCAGATAAAAATCTAGTCTCGCCATGACCAGACTTCATTTTCGCTCATTCAATTCCAAGAAAATGCGACTGCTCCAGTGTATTTTGTAGTAAACAAGCCGGTACCACGGCCCGCTTGCCTGCACGCAAATGCTGTTTCCACAGCGACCCAGAAAAATCATATAAGCAGTGTATTTTCTGGTATTTTGGCCACAGCCGATGGTGTTATGAGTGTAATAAAATGCCTACAGCCCAGTGTTCATTTCTACACACAAACACAGTCACTATGGAAGCTTGTTTCCGCCACTGAATAAAAAAAAGAAAAAAATAATTGCGACTTTTTAACTCACAGAGATATGAAGTCAGAATTGTGAGAAATAAAGTCAGAATTGCAAGATATAAAGTTGCAATTGCGAGATATAAAGTTAGAATTGCGAGATATAAAGTCAGAATTGCGAAATATAAAGTCAGAATTGCGTTATATAAAGTTGCAATTCTGAGAAAAAAGGACAGAAGTGCGACTTTTTATCTCACAATTCTGACTTTTTTTCCTCACAATTGCAAGTTTACATCTCACAATTCTGACTTTATAACACATAATTGCGAGTTTATATGTCGAAATATCTGACATCTTTTCTCAGAATTGTGAGATATAAACTCACAATTGCAAGTTATCAGGCCAATTCTAAAGGGAAAAAAATACTAACTTTTTTCCCTCAGAATAGTTTATATCTCACAATTCTGACTTTATATCATGCATTTCTGACTTTATATCTCGTAATTCTAAATTTATATCTCACAATTCTGACTTAATAACATGCAATTGCGACTTTATATCACGCAATTTTGACTTTATATCTCGCAATTGTGACTTTATATCACGCAATTCTGACTTTATATCTCGCAATTCTGACTTTACATCTCGCAATTCTGAGAAATAAAGTCAGAATTGGGAGATATAAAGTCAGAATTGTGTTATATAAAGTTGCAATTCTGAGAAAAAAAAGACAGAAGTGCGACTTTTTATCTCACAATTTGACTTTTTTCCTCACAATTGCAAGTTTACATCTCACAATTCTGACTTTATAACACATAATTGCGAGTTTATATGTCGAAATTCTGACATCTTCTCTCAGAATTGTGAGATATAAACTCACAATTGCGAGTTATCAGGTGAATTCTAAGGAGAAAAAAATACTAACTTTTTCCCTCAGAATAGTTTATCTCACAATTCTGACTTTATATCATGCATTTCTGACTTTATATCTCGCAATTCTGACTTTATATCTCACAATTCTGACTTAATAACAAGCAATTGCGACTTTGTCACGCAATTGTGACTTTATATCTCGCAATTGTGACTTTATATCACGCAATTCTGACTTTATATCTCACAATTCTGACTTTACATCTCACAATTCTGAGAAATAAAGTTAGAATTGGGAGATAAACTCGCAATTGTGAGAAAAAAAAGTCAGAATAGTGAGATAAAAAGTCGCAATTACCTTTTTTATTTTCCATTCTGTGGTGGAAACAAGCTTCCATACGTCACAGTACAGGGCCTGCACAAATGAAATCAACGCATGTCAATTGTGCATTAAATGTAGTGAATGTGCCAAATGGTATTATGAGTGTAATAAAAATGCCCACAAACCAGTGCTCATTTCTACATGCAAACACAGCCCGCCACAAAACAGGGCTCACACAAGTAAAATTGACTCGATCGATTGTGCATTAAATGTAGTGAACGTGCCACGATTCAGTGCCCACTATCACTACACACTGCATGTCACAGGGTTTCTGTAAAAATGAAACCAAAACAAATACAGTCAGCTCAGGCAGACTGTGCTGACTTTTCAGTGCTGTGAATGTGCCCGCTATGCCGTGCCCACACTCACTCACAGACATGTTAAGCCCCACATGTTAAGCTCCCCCGCTCGCTCTCTCACAGCAAAATGCTATAAATGAAAGCGAGCGCGGCCAAGCTGCCCACCATCACAGGCGCGCCCCCCACCTCACTCACTGTAAACACAGTGCCCATGTTAAAGCGCAACAAAGCTCCCGTGTCATCACTATGTTACGATAAGAGCCCAAAACCCATTCTACCCCTAGCCATTCACGCAGACGCGTGGGCACAGCTTCCCTATACAGCAGATATTTTCTGGTACTGAAAAAAGACGGGGGTCTCAGACCCATTCTAGATCTAAGAAAACTGAGCAAAGCGCTTATGAAACGGCAGTTCAGAATGCTTACAACCAGGAAAATCCTCGCACAGATTTGCCAAGGGGACTGGTTTATGTCAATAGATCTGAAGGACGCTTATTTCCAGATACAAATAGAATCACGTCACAGGCGTTTTTTGAGATTCGCCTTGGAGGGCCAGGCATATCAATTCACAGTCCAGCCGTTCGGCCTGTCTCTGGCACCCTGTACATTTATGATGTACTTGGACGCGGCCTCCGCACCTCTGAAACTTTGGGGCATGCAAGTTTTGAACTGCTTGGACGATTGGCTGATTCTAGCTCGATCTTATTCAGAGCTCATAGAACACAAGACTGTGTTACTCGAACATCTCGAGAAACTGGGTCTCACAGTCAATTGGGCGAAAAGCTTGCTGTTCTCCAGTCAGAAAATAATTTTCTTGGGCACAGAGCTGAACTCGCTGTCTATGACCGCACGACTGTCGCCAGAGCGCAGCCTAAACATTCAGCGCTTCACGAAATCCTTCCGCTGCGGCGCTATAGTCCCGCTCAGAAGGTTTTCAGAGAATGCTGGGCCTGATGGCCTCAGCATCATATGTAATTCATCTGGGCCTGCTCCACATAAGCCCACTGCAGTTTTGGCTGAAAGCACGAGCACCACCTCAAGCTCGGGCTTCCGGTCTGCTTCGCCTCAGGGTCAATCAGGAATGTGTCACAGCCCTGAAACCTTGGAGAGCGACCGACTGGTATCAGTCTGGTGTAAACCTGGGGACTTCCTCGAGTGTGCAGGTGGTGTCCACGCCTCCACCCTGGGATGGGGAGTGCTACACGAGGGCAGACTGTTCTTCGGCACAAAGGTCAGAACGAGAAAAGCTCCCTCATATAAACTGTCTGGAACTGTTGGCAGTCGACAACACGCTGATGCGCCTTTGTCCCCAAATAAGAGGCCACCACGTCTTAGTCTGCTCGGACAACATGTCAGTTGTATCCTACATAAATCGCCAGGGCGGCATCCAGTCTTAAAACGGATGATGGAACGGATTCAGACTGACGGAACTGATCCTGGCCTGGGCTCAGCACAATCTGCGCTCACTGAGAGCAGCACACATGCCTGGCACCCAGAATTTGGGGCAAGACAGACAATAGTCCAGAAACAATATACCAGCTGGGGAATGGTCTCTGCACCCGCAGAAAATCCTCCTGCTGTGGGACACATTCAGCAGAGCACAGATGGACCTATTCGCGTCCCAGGAAAGAGCTCACTGCCCAAATTTTTCTCCAAGAGCGAGGATGCGCTAGCCCATGTCTGGCCCAACTGCCCGCTCTATGCTTTTCCCCCAGTCTCGCTCCTGCCTCAAGTGTTGGAACGAATCAGGGAAACCGGATATACTCAGTGCTTCTTGTGGCTCCACTGTGGATGAACCAGGAATGGTTCCCAGTCCTATTGCGGCTGACAAGCACTGCCCCATGGCCGATTCCGACGAGGAAAGACCTCCTCTCTCTCTCAGGCCAGGGGCTCAATTTGGCATGCTCACTCGGAGTGGTGGACCTTTCACGCATGGGCAATCAACGGGTACACGCTAACCTCTCCGAGGGAGTGCGAAACACCATCACGCAGGCCAGAGCACTGTCTACTAGACGTCTCTATGGCTCAAAGTGGTCAGTATTTGTTAACTGGTGCAAAACCTGAGGTGTTTACCCCACAAACAGCGGGGTAATGGAAGTGCTTTCCTTCCTTCAAGAGCTACTGGATAAGGGCAGGTCCCCATTCACGCTCAAAGTTTACGTGGCGGCTATAGCAGCGTTTACAGAACCTGCCTCTGGCCTGTCACTGGGAAAAAATGATCTGGTCATTCATTTCCTAAAAGGAGCTCTCAAACCCTCCCAAACCCCCCTC